TGCTATTACTCCTCTGTCCTGCTATGCACCACTGCTGGCTGTTCCTGTCCTGGGCTCCCCACCAGCATTGCCTGCACCCCTCAAATCACTCTCATTCTTCCCCTGGTCAGTTGCTATTCTGACTGTTGATCTCCCATCACTGCTGATGCTTTGCAGTGCTAAGCTGGAGCACCTCAGATGAGTTTCAGTCCTTGCGTTCGTACAGGATCAAGCTCTGTAATGTCAGCAGTTTTATGGTTCTGACTGAGAATTGCTATGTGCTGTCAGACCATTCATCAGAGGGCAATGGTTTAGGACCTTTGCCAAATATGGCTTTAGGAAAATCTAGTGTATATTTCTGTCCTGCATATTTTAACACTGTTTGATGACATTTTGTCCAGTATTCAGCATCCAGCTGAGAATTTAGAACTGATTGCCCACTAGTAGTACAAGCTTGTCAGAGTCTACTCCTCCAAACCACGTGGATCTGGCTGTTATGAGAAAAATGCAAACAAGACAAGAGGAACAGAAACCAGATTAGGATAGGAAGTGAATAATCACTCCTGCAGAAAGGCAGAGCAGGAGGGAGGGACCAAGCCAAGTATTGGATGTAGTTCCTCCTGGGTATTCCCAGAAAGGCTTTTAAATTAGAAAAACCTAAAGGGCTTTTCTTTTAACAATTTCAGAGTGGCTTGTGTTTAAAGGTGGATGCAGAATGTGCCGTGCGTTCTTTTATCCACTTCAAAGCTGTAGTTTGTGCAGACAGGGTAAACAACCATAGGTCACTCAGTGAATCTGGGTCATGAAACTTCTGTTAGCGAGCAAGTCACTCCAGCATTGAAAATGAGGTCTGTCTGTGCAGGGAAGTTGACAGAAGTGTCTGAAAGGGACATTTACTGCTGGTTCACCTGGGAACAACCAAGCTAGAGCCCTGGTAGAGATCACTTTACAGCTTGACTAGAGGCCTTCCTAGGGAAAAGAGCTGAAAACGTCTTTAAATACCCTAGATTATCAGTTAAGAAATGTGACTGAACCATGTGAGTTTCTGTGCATATTTTATGGTCTGAATGAAAAAATGAAGACCAAAGATCTGGTGGGAGATACAGGCACTGCTGTAAGGTCCTATGAAAAACAGAATTTTGCTAAACGTGTCAGAGTTTGAGTAATTTTATATTGTCTTTTTTTTTAATCTTTCCTCAGAAATGTTACCACTTCATATTCCAGCGCTACCGTCTGGAACACTACACAGTCTCCTCCAACTGGCTGGCTCTGGGGACTGTCTTTCTCTTTGGCCTTTTGTCATTGTCACGCTCTGTTGCCTTATTCAGAGGTTGGTATTTTAGACTTGTTCTGTGCTTTCCTGGCTATTGGTCTTAAGGCCTGCCAAAGTTTTGCTGCTTTGACTATAGCAGCATAGTAGAAATAAGGAGCCTCAAAAGTTTGGATGTCATTGTTGCAGGGAAAGAAATAAGTTCTAATGGTCACCATTAATGAATGATTATACGTGTGTGTGAGCACATTCATACATGTATGTATGAACGTATATATGTATTCATGAATGTATCATGAATGTATCATGAATCAATCTATGTATGTATGAATGTATCACTAGAATTATATCAGTTAAAAATGTGCTGCCCTTCACCTTCAGCCAGTACAACTATACTGATATAAAACCTGTACCCAGGCTAGTATTAAAGCAGATACTTTAACTTTCAAACATATGATCCCACTTGAAAAAGCATTTTCCCATGTAAAACTTGTAATTAGGTGCATGTGTCCTTAATGGAGATGGATTAGATATGGTCTTTAAGTACTTTCTTGAATCAGAGCGATGCAGTGAACCTTCCAACCTCATCAATATTTTTTTGCTTGATGGTAGCCATCGGCAGTCAGGACAGGAGAATGTGAATAAAGGTCGTAGGGTACAAGCCCTTTTAAAAGGAGGGGGAGCTTTGTAATCCAGCCACTTTTTAGCATAGCCCAATTCCTTTATTCAAGAAGTTATCAGTTAAAAAGTTATATATGAACAATTTTTCGTAGTCTTTCAAAAGTAGTCATGTAAATATCACCTATTTCTTTAGCCTTATTTACAACTTTCTGCCTTCCATAGGCTACCACGGGCCCCTGGACCTGTACCCAGAATTTCACAGGATTGCTACTGACCCAAGTATTCACACTGTGCCAGAGGGGAGACCAGTTAATGTCTGCGTGGGAAAGGAGTGGCACAGATTTCCAAGCAGCTTTCTCCTGCCAGATAAGTAAGTTGTTTAATGTAAAAGGTACAACTTGGTGAGATTCATAAGGAGGGGCACTTCTCATAAGAAGTATTTACGGGAGTAGCCTTCAAGACCTTGTATCTCTGTTGACACCAGCATATCCAAAACAAAGGATTCCGAAGTTTGTTGTCAGCAGATTATGTTGTCCACAAACTACTGAAAATTTGTAGCGTGACTGTTCCTCTAGCAGGGCTGTCTACCCTCAGGAATGAAATGTCCTTGGTTATGCTTTTGGTTTTCTCCACACAAAATGTTACTAGCTCCTGCATTTTCCTCCTGGGCTTTCTGACACTGTTTTCTGCAGTTGGCAGCTCCAGTTTATCCCGTCAGAATTCAGGGGCCAGTTACCAAAACCATTTGCCAAAGGACCAATGGCCACACGGATCATTCCCACTGACATGAACGACCAAAACAAGGAAGAGCCATCTCGATATGTAAGGATTATATTCCTGTTTTCTTTTCCTTACCTTACTGTATAATTTGTATTAATATAATGCCTATGATTGGGTCTCCCCATTTTGTTTCCTGGGGACCGTACAAGTTACAGAACGAAACTGGGCTCTCTGCAGCACTTGGAAGTTTCCCCATTTATGTGAGTTGTTTCTGTTTGCATTTCATCTGCCTATTTTTCAATTAAAGACATAATAATAAAAAAAGAAGCAGAAGTAATGATTCCTAGTTATTACGATTTGGGGTTTAGTATAACGTGTTACTGCGATCACAGGAAAGTGAACTAAATGAGTAGCTTGAAATCCCCCACAGAAAATGTTTGTCACTGAGCAGGGATTGAAATTTTCCTTTGTACATTCCTTTCTTTTTAAATATAAATGTATTCATCATATTTGCAACTGAGGAGGAGGAACTTAATTTGGAACTTCACTGAAACAATTGTGTCAGTGATTTCAATCGGAATCTGTTAAGATAATGTATACTGGTATTATTAATTTGTTACTTTTCCTGGTTGTATTGTATTACCTAAACAAAAACAGTGCACACATATGAATATTTTAAAATTATGGTCAGGTAACTTCTCTAAAATTATTTAGCAGGTTAAATCTTAGCAGTGCACTAAATATTCTTTGCAGTGCACTAGCTACTTAGTCATCCTTTATTTTTTGTCCTAAGGGTTGAATGAGAGGAACTGCCAAGAAATGCATAGTCCTTTCTTCATTCTCTCTTAGCACCTTGGAGGATAGCTTTGGTATGTCCATCAGTATATAGGAAGCGCTCACATGTGATGGACCAGGTCTCTGGTTTACACAAGTGGGTCTGTCCGGGCTGAAGACAGCAGACGTATGCTTGTTTATGTGGCTCATGACTTTGGCCTGTTAGACTTTGTACAAGCACTTGTGATCAGCTCACAGAAGTGGATGGAAGGCAGTACTATAACACAGGAGCAAACTGTGTGGGTAAAAGTAGGGATCAATCTTCTGGGTTAAAGCTCTCTTATTTTAAGCCTCATTATGTAGCTACTGGAAATGGGAAGGAGGCGTGTTCCCACCTGAGAGAAGCTGTCTGCTGCAGTGCATTTAATTTACAAAATCTTTAACTGTGGCATATTTTTAGCACACACAGCTGGCTGGTGCACAGCCTGTGACTAATGGAGCAAAACACACTTTTGTTTCATGGTTATTTCTTAATGTCACCCTACAATTTTGTTATTTCTCATGCAAGCAAAAGGGCCTAGGACATTAGAAATTAGCTACTAAATGTGAATTTTAAATGGGGTTTTAAAACTTTTACTTCTGACCTGCTAATAACACCAAGAGAACAAGATCTTTTCTCAAGTTTAGTGAGCTTATGAATGCAAGCATACCCAGATTTAAAAAAAAAAAAAAAAAGTTAGCAAGCACTGAAAAAGGACCATCATAGTGAATAAATCTAAATAGCATCAGTTTGTTGGTCATTTAAAGAGGAGAAAACAAATGGTTCAAAAGGATTATCTGAGCCACGGGCAGCAGATTAATGCTGCGGCAGATTGAGCCGCGGCAATTAATGGCTGCAGAAGTGGGACCTATCTCTCTGTTTCAAGTGTAAGAATCTATTACTGCTCTGCTTGAAAATTGAAGAGTAAATCTCAGTGTTTCTGTTGCTATGAGACACTGGGGAAAAGAGTGATTTGATCTTCTTGTTTTGCAATTCTTCCTTCCTTAATCATGTTGAACAGCACTTAACTTGTACTTGTCCTACTGGGGAGATGCATTTGTCTCTGAAACTGCTAAGAAAGAGATAAGGAGTATTATCTCTTACAAAGATGTATCCAAGCAGGAACAGTAGATTAGGCCTAAAAGCTGAAACTGTTAAAAACTCCTGACTTCTGAGGAAGTTTTTTTTTAACCACTTTATTTTCACTTCTTTTCCAATTCCCTTTAGCTCTGTTTTGAACCGTAGGAACCACCTGAAGCTTGGTCTCATTTTTGAAATATGCATTTGAGTGATCAGTAAAACATCTCTGATTTTGCTCAAAACAGTTGAACTTTATCTGTGGTAAACCAGAAAAACTCCTGTTGTGCTCTGTGTGGCCAAGCTGTTACACATCTGTGTGTAACATCCATCCAGGCACCAGTGAGCGACATGTGGCTGCAGCAGTACAGCAGCAGGCTGTGCCCTTAGGTCCATCTCTGTACTATACCATGCCCACTCCTGTTATTCAGGATGGGATCAAATGTAGTTCTCCACCACTTAGCATAGCAGTTGCATCAAATAAAAAAAGAGTGGGAGGAGGAAAAGGAAAGGAGAACAGAAGAGGATAGGATGTAGTTTGGAAACTCCTTGCAGCTCCGTTCACTAAGACTGACTTCTTTCTACAAAGAAACATTTCAAATTCTGTACACCACCAAAGTCTTGTGTAAATCCCCAAATAAATGCATAGGTGCCGTTTTGGCCCTCTGACCAGGATGAATATTATCCTTAGCTTTGGTGTAACTTGTAAGAACACACTGTGCTCTACTTGGAATGGTAGAAGGGAAATCTGTCTTTCACCTGGCAGATAATTCATATGCATTGGAAGTGCCAGCCCTTTTAGGGGAGCATTTAGAATGAGAGAAGTGAGATTAGTCTTACTGCTTGAGGCAGTAACTTGTCTTTCTCTGAATGATTCTACATCACTTACAGAAAAACTTGGTTAGTGGTTTGGGAGTCTTTTTGCTAATGAGCCAGAACCTCTCTCAGGGCCTGGAATGTTCTTCTCATACAGTGCAAGAAGTGGATTCAACATTCTCCTCAGCAGAGTTTCCCATGGTGTAATTTCATTTGCCACTCAGTTGTGATGCCACGGAGCTGTCTGGCATCCACCTAATTAAATTGTTTTCAGCCTAAATTGTTACAATAAACCCCAAAGGTGCTTCAGAAAAGTGAACTGAAGCATGTCCGAGGAAGTTTGCAATAAAATTTTGTGGGAGAGCAAACTGAAATGTGGGATACCTCAAGGAAGAGTTTGAGGGAGTAAGACAGAATAAGACATAGTCATCCTGGAGAACCTCAGCTGCCTGCATTTAAGATAACTGATGGGTAGAGGTCTTTGCAAACCTGGCTTAAGGGGCCTTAGCTTTTCATTTGACTAATCCAGCTATAGCTGCCCTGCCTTTTTCTTCACCTTTTCAATGTGTCAAACTTGTGCAGTGACTCTAAGGAAATTTGTTTCTTCATTGAAACACCTGGTCATCACACATTACCCTTTTTTTCTGACTTGATGAGAGGTACACACTGTTGTGCAATCAACAAGACACAACTTTGTATGTTGTGTTCTGCCATTGTTAATTAAAGGGAAAACTGCCACTTGGGAGACCTGGCCTCCTAAGGAGTGCATATAGATCTCTCATGAAGGTCATGGGCCCTCCATGTAAAAGTCAGTGAAACCAAATGGACCAGGACTTGTTGCTCCCCAAACTTGATCACGTTCCTTCCATCAGGCACCTAACATTAATGTGAGTCCTCCTCCTGATAAGGTCCTTAGTCTTTCCCTTCCAGCACCTGTTGCCCTGACTGCAAAAAAAAGAAATAAATCTGGAGGGGTCTGTCATTTTACAAAGGTCAGTGATGATCTGACCTAGCAAGAACTCCTCCATAGCCTGTGCATTGAGAAGCTTGTTGCAACGTACATTCTGTTCAGAGCCCCTGAGGAATGAACAAGGACCAAGAGCTGAGAGACAATTTTTTTGTGTGTGCACTGTTGACAGGATCTGATTATGATGCTGTGTGATGCTGGGGCCATGGACCCTGTTTCCAGACAATAATTCAGCACAATGATCTGTTTTTGTTGCTGTCTTCAGAAAAAACTTGTAACCAGTTTACACCAAGACGCATGATGGAAGTTCTTACCCTAGCACAAAAATTTCCTTACAGGTCACTTAGCCTCCTCATTAATTTCTTTCCTGAAAGTGCAGTGGACTGCTCAGTGGAAGGTGTCCTTGTTTATAGCTGGTAGTGGGAAGGAAGCATGTTAGAAGCACGTAGCTGTCCTCCTGTTCATGCAGTTGGGAATTCAAACAGGCTTGGCAGCAGCAGGGTGTTTGGGAGGATCAGGCTGGACCTTTTATTTGCTTGCCAGTTTCCTTGGTGTTTGCTGATCTAATAGGGCTAGGATTAGATGGCACAAAGTGTCCCGGCACTCTGATAACCCTGTCCTGCTGGATGCAGGGATTGGTGGCAGCTGTAAACTGAGATATCACAGTTGAAAACTTGGTATTTTTCCTAAATTCCCATGTTAAGTCTCTTTCCTTTCTCCCTTGTATTCCACCTGGGTGAAACACCTGCACAACTAATGAGACTCATGTTACAATTTGCAAATATTTATTTATCAGAAGTTATGCCCTGTCTTCTGTTCCACTTAACCTGAGGAAAGACTCTAGTCATGTCATTTTTTTACATCTCAATACATGTATTCTAGTTCCCTGATGTCTCCCAAATCAAAACATCTAGATTATTAAAGGAAACCACCAATAATTACTAGGATGTACTGTACTTCACTGGTGTCTTTTCTCAGAAATTTCAAAATACTGTACTACATTTTAATATACAATGCTTAATAATATATCAGAGGCAGAAGTGGGAATCGTTAGTCCCCTTCAGCAGTTGGGAATACTGGAGTGCCACAAGGATGGCTTGCAGACCAACAGAGCCAGAAATAGCATCCAAGAATTCTGTGCGTTCTCAGTTCGCAGAAAGAAATACTGGAGATAGAACTTTCAGATTAATCTGATTGGAAGTGGCACAAGAGCGTAAGATAGTTGCAAGCATCAGTCCTGTTGACTTCTAGTGCCTCTCAGGTCACTACTGCAGGCTTTTGCCAGAAAACTCAGCCAGTGCCAGATGTGAAAAAGTGTGACCCTTGGCTGACAAAACCTAGTGTCAGCAAAATACTGAAGTACAGAGGCGATAACTGGTAGAACTTGCTTTGCTTCAGTGGCTGAGAATCAATGTGCCAGCAAAAGCT